ATCTATAGAAATTGTATATAATGATTTTTGTGAAGGAATGTTTGTAAGTAATGTATTTTATTACGATATATAAAAGAATTTTGTTACTCGATTGGATATATAATTCTCTAGGTAATAAAATTAAAGTTATAATTTAAATTGATTCGAAAAAGAGAATTAAAGAACGAGTATTTTTCTATTCTTTTGAAAAAAGAAAAAAAAAAAAGATAAAATTAAATTGTTTTTGTTACGAATCCTTCAATTGTAATAAAATTTTAATTGTTTACAGCGTATTTTGAAACATGGAATATGTCATTCCGTATGAAAAGCTTTAATAAGGTTACGATCTACATAATTTATACTGCAAAACAAGTATGACAAATGCATGCAAAATTTTCTGTGTCACATGCGAATAAAATATGTAAATCTGTCAACGGTCAATTGTTATCGCGCGTTGATTTTCCATCAAGAAAATTCCGAAATTGGATCTTCGTCGAGTCACGTTGTTATCCACCACTCGAACGAAATTATCAAAGTGTCCATTCCACTTTTCACCTCGAACTTTGAAATTCGATCTCTCGAACGATTCTTTTCTATTCTTCTCTAAAATCGTTAAACCGTTTTAATTGTCCGCATAATGTCGCAATTTGCAAGTAAGATGTCCCGACGATTACGTATAACAAAAACAAGAAAATTCCTAGAATCGTAAATAGAGTTATTCGTTGTGCTGTTCTCTCTTCTTAAAATTTTATTCTCTCTCTATCGAAATATCTTAAATTCCATAAAGTTCCATCCATTTAATTCGTATGTCGATTCGATGACATGTCAAAAGTTTTATTCAATTTTTCATTTCTGGTATAAATAAAATTCAAAACTTGGAATTAATTAAGCAAATCGATAGGAAATACGTCAAACGAATTTTGAAAATCTTTTTTTAAACAGAAGAATCTTTTAAAGGTAATCTTAATACCTTTTCGGTATCTAGATGATATATTAGATTTGGATAAAGTTAGAAGATTTTATTTGTTTTTTAAAACCGTCTCATCAATATATTTTTCTTAAAGAAAAATGCCCCAATGATTCGAGTTTTCAGTTTTGAGGTACAGGATGTAGAATGTATATAGGGTATAGGATATACGATCCATTGTCGTTTCTTTTTTAAAATTTCTTGCCACGGTTTGTGGCCTGGCTACCTGTATTCTTACGATACGAAACGAGGGTGCAGAGGGTGTTTCTCGTAAGGGTCTCTCCTTGAAAGGAATCATCCATCGTGTTTCAGGTAAAAAAAAGGTTCATGGAATTTTCCATGAAGACGGTTGCCAAGGGTAGAAATTAACCTGGATATAGGGGGAGGCCTGGGGAGGCGAACAGGTTTCCCCTCTGCCGCGTTTCTAACGTGTAATAGCCGAAAGAAAAATACAAACGATCTTTCTGAATCGTTTCACGCCGTTTTTCGTTTCTTCCTTTTTTTTCTTTCTTTCTTTTTTTCTTCTTTTTTCTCCTATTTTCCTTGGTAACGTATCCAACCTATTGACCGTATTATATCGCAAAAAGTGTCTCGTTGTCAGATCCGTTGCCTCTTATCTTCTATTTCAAACTTGGGAGTGTTTTTATAGAGTTGTACATTTGAAAAAAAAAGAGAGAAATCATTTAATCTGAGTCGATGAATAGATCGTTTGGAAAATTTTTGTTTTTTTATTATGGAAATATGGGATTATTTTATATTTTAATTGTTATTGTTGTAAAACAATTTCGTTCGTTGCATCTAAAATATACGTATTATATCTTTTCAGTATCAAAATTTCATTAAAATCAGCGGAGGACTATATAATTCGTGATTTATTTGCACGAGGAAGAATTTATTAAAAGAACGGATCTTTCTTTCCTTTCCTTTAATTTTAATCATCCACTTTCCTCCATGCTTTGTCGACTCACTTTTGTTCTCGCTGGAAACGATGGATTTTTAACGACAATGATTCGTCGTCCTTCGACGTTCATTCGACGTCCACCATTTCAATTTGCACAAATTTTCATAAAACAGCACGAACGAAGTTTGGGGGAGGAGGGATGTTCTTAAATCAATATATCTCGGCAGAAAGATCGACAAACGAGATCTGAGAGTAATGGTTGAAAGGAAACCACCCTCTTCTCTACATTTCATTTCTTTTTCTCTTTCTCGAACAACGATCATTCGTTTCTAAAAGAAACCTTAACGATAATTTGACTCAGAAATTTGCGTCAGACACGAATAGCAAAGTCACAGTTTCTGATTTCATCCTGTGATTTCGTCACGCGAAGGGATGATGTGCTAATATCGCGCAACAATTGTGAATAACGTCTGGCAATTATCGATACATTTTTAGAATTGTTTCGAAAAAATTGATATCTTTCGTTACGTGGAAAGATTATTATTACCCTTTTGTGTGTTTTATTTTTCGTTTTATTAGTGTTTTGATGATTCATAGGGAAAGTTGTGCAATCCGTTGCTTAAAGTCACTCGAGTCGAGGAGCGTGTAATAAAACGATCACGACACATGCGTACATCTTTGGTGCCGAAAATTGAAGGCCGAAGTTTCAGCTGTGGGCGATAAAAACGATGAAGGAACATGAAAACTTACTTAAAAAAAAAAAAAAAGAAAGAAAAATTGATGCCCTAAACAAACCGTATCATCCTCGATAAAGAAGAAAAATAAAATAATCCAGATTTAAATAGTAATCTTTGATAAAAAAAAAGTTTGAAAATTACTTCTAATTTTCCCAGAAACGCTGACAAATATTCTTAAAAGACATATGTTCAAAGAGGGCATCTATCTATTTTCAATAATTGGAAGAATAAAAATAAATTTCAAGATCTCGATCGAACTAAAAACAGTACGCCATATTTGGTGATCCTAGCATAAAGAAAATATCGATATCGTAAATTTTTTTTAAAAAGCTTTCTAAAAAATGAAGAAAAAAGACGTGGAGTGTAATTTTTTCCACGAATCCTTCTTAACGAAGGCAGTACCTGCAGAGATTCGATGTGCGGTTAATCATCGCCGGTTAGGCAGATCGAGAAAACCGAAACTACTTGTTCTTTCGTCGTGGGGAACCGGCACGTGGATACAATTGCTTTATTTTATTGCATTCTCGGCTCGGGTAAGGCTACTGCATGCAAGACCGGTTTTGCAAAGTGACTTTAACGCCTCGCTTATAATCTCGGATCTGAGGAGTGCCCCTCTTTGTTCCACGTGAACGGGGCAAACGGTGGCGACTGTTACATATGTATGAGGGAATTTAGTTACCAATTTAATTAGCAAATATAGGTTCCTCCCCGTCTCGCGCCTCGATCGATCGAGTTCAGCGGTTTCTCGTTGTTTACCAAGAGGGGGTGACCGTGTTCCTCGGCTTGGAATTCGGTCGATGAGGGATTAAGGCGCAAGAAGCGGATTAAATTCGAAAATTTTTTCACCCTATCTATGAATCGTCGTGAAAGGTTGACTTAAGGCGATATTTCATTTTTCTTTCTTGAAGTTTAATACTTCAATTTCTTTTTCAGATTGTCAATTTAATGTGGATTTACACGTAGATAGAAACAGAAATAATTCTATGCAGTTATATATATATTTATTGATATGAGAAGGAAAAATTAAATTGGGAGAAGAGGTTTTTTTTTAAGAATTATGAAGATAATTTTATTATATAAACAAAAATCATATAATTTATAGAGTTTTCGAAGAGAGTATTCTCCATCGTGTTTATAATAGATATAAAGTCTTCCAAAAATTTACTTTTAATCTCGATGTGAATTTGAATTTAATCAATTTCGTGTTATTAAATATTATTATTAATCAATATGACAATTACGCGTGACAAATACATTTTCGTTGTTCGTAGAGCATTAATGGAAGATTTTATAGTCAGATTTATCTCGTATATCTACGAGATGAGTTACTAACCCAAGAGCAAAGCTCTGGATCCGTGAAACGTCCCTCCCTGGAGCAAAGGCGATGAGCCTTTAAAGGAAAAGGGATTTCGTGAGGATTCTCGAGAACCTGTGACCAGCAGCGACTATGGTATTTCTAGAAAGGGACGAATGGATGGGGCAAACTGTGAACGAACAAAGAGGAACGCATGGACCGTGCACACTATATATATATATATAGCTTTACACCATGGGGAGTGATTTGAATGCGCTTGAGGGAATCAATACTTTACCTAGTAGAGTCTCGGTGAAAGCACGAATTCTCGAAACCCCTTGTTCCCCAGAAATCGTCTCTGAACGTGGTGAGGATCGTGTTTGTAGCGGCATTACACGTGGAGAGATAATTTAGTTATTTTTGCTACCAGTTATATATTATCTGCTTCATAAATATGCAGATGTATATTCAATTATAATATTTATCTGAAAAGTGTTAAGAAATCACTAGTGAATTTCAATGAATTTTATGTATTTATTTCGTTGTGTGTGTGGCTATATGTGGAGGATATATTTTACCAATAATGGATTTAGTATCTTTGTAATAATACAAAGTAATTAAGTATTTTTTTTTTTTTTTTTTTATTATAATATATCTACTTTTTATCTGTCTAAATGATGGATGATAACGTTAAGTATTGGGAATTTTAAAAGTAACGTTAGTCAGTTTTTAGATTAAAAATTATTCGCATTATCGTACTGTTTCAACAAATTCCATAATTTATAGATACGGTATAAAGTGAAATCTTAATTAACTTATAGTTGATACAATTCTCGAATTTATCTGTTTTTTGATAAATAAGAGTGTAAATTCTTGATTGTTTTAAACAAAAAAAAAAAAAAAAA